GGGTGGGTCATCTCGTGAGAACCACCTCACTTGGTCCTGGCGGTCCCATTCATTCTCGAGCGGGGAAAAGTTCTCGCTCGGCGCCATGAGGAGGAACCATAGGCTATCCCATAGGTCGGCCAGGTCCGCCGCGGACAGAGGCTGGGGAAGCCTGCCCGCCGCTGACGCCACCAGGCCGTTGAAGTAGTCCGTCGGGACCACTTGGTCGTCTTGCCCTACCGGAATGCTCGAGAGTTCCAGGAGCTGGGCGAAGCGGACTGCCGGCTCCCCGCCCAGCTTCCTCCCCTCCTCCGCCGTGCCATGGCGCAGGCACATCAGGCCAACAGCTCCCCGTCCGTCTGTCTCGGGGAGAAGGACTCATCCGCCAATGTGTTTCACAGGACCCTTGGAATGCGGTCCCAAAGACGTGTGTAAGGCGGGCGCAAAAGAAACTTGGTAGAAACCCTAGCCATGATGAAGAGGGGGGGTTTGAGCCTCCTATCGAACGGCCGGGACCCAACCGCGGCATACTGCATGCATGTTCCAACCGCGCATGATGCCGAGTGCAAATGGAGCAGGCAGGCCACACGCAGCTTAACAGGGCCAAAAGTCAACCCCCGGAAATCCCCAAAAAACACGGAGGGGGGAAGACCAACCCGACGGGGGATTCCCCAAAACCCCCAAGGGGACCTCAGGGAACCAAGAGTCAGCCGCAGCCACTTTTTCCGAACCGTGGCTGATATGGCCCGTCCTTGGGGCAGAAAATGCATGCAGCCTCCAGATCGAGGCAAACCGGCTGTCGTGACGTGTTGAACAGGGGGGAAACCAAGGTGGAAGATGAACCCAAAAGGAGACACCCTTACTCCTCCCCCCACCCGAGACGGGGCCAGAGGCACCCAAGTCCCGGCAGGAAGAGATCACACGACTCCACATCCAAAAGGGCTGTGAGACACTACCTAGCGGCTCTCACCCTTCAAGATCGCCTCCTTTGCCACCGAGTGGATGGCCGCCAGCCCCGACTTCTCCGGGTTGCTCAAAATGACCGACCACAAGGCAGTGGAAACATCCCCCAGGCCATTCGAGGAGCTGAAGCGCATGCGGGGTCGCCCAGGACTAGCCGCTCGTCCCTGGGAGGCTCCGTCGGCTCCACCCTCTTGTAGAACCTGTCACGGATCCACTGATTAGGGGGCTCGTCCATCACCAGCTGCAAGCATGTGGCCTTGTCTTTGTGCCACCCCGTGATCTGGAGCAGCCTGGTCCCCCCGCGGCTCGCCCTCCAGAAGCCCTTGCAAAATCTGCACATATAGCCCCCGGTGGTCTTGAACTTCTCCTTGCCCACCACTTCCCAGGCGCTGATGCTGGGCAAGACCAAGCCACACTCCACGGAGGCCCAAAACACGTGCTTCGTCTCCTTGGGGAAGTGCTTGTTGATGTACTTCCGGCCCGCGACCGCCGTGACCGTGGCCGTGGTGATGGGCGGGTATCGCCTGGTGCCCTGGTCCGGTGTGCGGAGCGTGGTGCAGAACCTTGGCCTTGCGGTCCGCCTCCTTGGCCGCTCCTCCCCCGGGGCCAGAGGCACCCAAAGGGGGGGAGCAACCCAGCTGCCGGATGAGGTCCTGGGAGTGGCCCAGCCTGTCGTACAAGGCCCCCGCCCGCTGTTGCGGGACCTGCTCGACCCAGTCGTGGACCACGTTGCATCGCCAGTTGACCTTCACCTCCACCATCGAGGACTTGCTCAGGCCCGACACCAACTTGGTGTAGGACAGCGGGAGGGTGATCCGCTCGTCGCAGACCGCCCTGAAACGCAGCGCCTCCTTGCTGTCGTGGACGGGGGCCACTGGGATCTCCATCACCGGCAACGGGCAGTTGACGATGAAATTCTTGGCCGCCAGAAACGTCCCCATCTCCTTAAAGATGTAGCTCCATTCCGCCTTGCTGCGCGGCTTGGGAATACCCAGGCTCTCCAGGAAGGGCACCGCCTCCTTTCTCATCTGGAGGATGTTGCCCATCCACCGCATTGCGGCCCCGGCGTTGCGTCTTCACGATCAGCGGGAAAGTGGTCCAGGCCGAGTAGATGTACTTGAAAGTGAACCTGTGGGCGTACACCCCCGTCAGGCTCGGCAGGTCCCACGTTCTCGTCTGCCTGGTCCAAAACACCCCATCACCTTTCGCCCAGAAGATCCCCACCACCTGCTCCGGCGCCGGGCGCTCGCCCCGGTTCACCTGCGCTCGGATCTCCAAGGCCGTGTAGATGACTGGGTCGATGTGGTCCTGCTCGCACGTGAGTGGGTGAGTCCTGCGCTCCAGGGCCAGGATCTCCTCCGGCGTGAGCTTGAACTGCTGGTCCGCGCTATTGGGGATCTCACCGCTTGAGTGCTTCTTCCAGATCCCCCCAAACATCCGTAGCTCTCCCTGGTGCCTCTTCATCGCCCAGAGGAGCAGGGACAGCTTGCCCTCCTCCGAGTCCAGGTCCTGCTGTGACGTTGGCTGATCCCCCCCGGGGCCAGTGGCACCCTTGGGGCCGCCAGGTCGGGCATCTCCTCCAGCAGCGCCTCCTGGTTCCATGGGTTCTGCGACTCCTTGATGTCTCCCACATTGGGGATGTCCTCGGTCATCCAGCTCCAAAGGGCAGAATAGCCCCCTCTCCAGGGCCTGCCTGAGATCATCCGGCCACGCCAACACTTCCAACTGCTTGAGAGTGTGGTTAAGCATCCATGCCTGGTTGGTGTCCTGGGTGCGCTTGTTCGCCTCCTGAGCCTCCTGAATGGAGCCCATCGCCTCAGCCAGCGCCTGGCTGGCGTCAACGCCCTTCTTCTCCAGGTACTGGCCTCGCAGCTTGGCCTTAGGTTGACCTTCCTGAGGGCACGGGCTCCCTCATTGGCCACCTCTTCTGACGGCAGGGCCTGCATGCCCTCCTGGAGAGGCGCCAGGATAGCCATCTCATTGTCCAGCATCTCCTCCGTGACCAACTCCTTGTGCCGTCGCCTGGCCGAGGACTCTTCCGGGGTCGGTTCCCGATGCTCCCTCAAGGCCTTGTGCAGCTCCTCCTTCTTCCGGATCGCCTGGTCCACCTGGGGGTGGTAGAGCTGGAAGCTCTGAGCCTCCGCCTCCTTGAGGGACCGCTGCACTTTGACCTTGACCTCCTGGCATTCCCGGACCATCAACGCCTCGTCGTCCGCCTCCATGGACAGGATCTCCTGTCGGATGTCCACTCGCCTGTTGAGCGGGACCACGTCTGCCATGGTGATCTCCTCTGCCGTGTCCGTTTTCGGAGGAGCTCTCCCCAGGACCGTGCCGTCCACCAGGTTGCGGTCTGCCTGTGCCCGGGTACCACCGGGGCCAGCGGCACCCAGGCTTCCCCCTTCCCGCTGCTGGATCCAGGTCGGCTTGCCCTCCACAATGAGCAGGTTGTAGGTGATGCCGTCCGCCTCATAGGTAGCCGAGGGTGCCTGGAAGGGGACGAACTCTTTGCCTGGGCAGACCCAGCACTGCTTGGCTGCCTCTGGCCACCCCGTGCCGCATGCCTTGCACATGAACTTGTAATCTGAGTGGCCTGCATCGAGTCTGTGCATTCGCTGGGTGCCAACGCACGCCTTGTTCCTCTGGAACTGTGAGGCCCAGACCTCCTCCTGCCGGATCTGGATCTTCATCGGGACATAGGCCTCCAGGATACGAATCACCAGGTCCTCCGTGAGATTCTTCCCGACGAACTTGTGGAACAGGGAGACCGCCTCCTCCACCGTGACGTCCCTCAGCAACGTGGCCGCCGATGCCGGAAGGACCGGGAAAAGGTCTGGGAGGTCCACCAGCTTGAAGTAGCCGGGTTGGCCCTCCACCGGCACCAAGGAGACCGGTTTGTTCACATGAGCCGTGGTCTTCTGGGAAGCCGCTACGAAACCCCTCAGCCTCTTCGTGGGTGGTGTCTGTGCCTCCTCCGGTGGAGTAGCCCGCTCCGTGACGTCCGCATCTTCCATGTCCTTGTCCTCCTCCTCGGCGGGGCCAGGGGCACCCAAGCCGGAAGTCGGTGTGGCAAACGCCACACGGAGACGCTCCAGTGCACTGGAGAGGTCCTTCATCACGTCGGTAGCCGAAGCCGACGGGGGGGCCTCGGGCTCGTCCAAAACCAGGCCGGCCGCCACTGCCGCCTCGCGTGTGCGAATTTCCTGGGCCTCCTGGCTGGCCATTTCCACCTCCTCCGCGGTGAGCGTCTGGTCCTCAATCAGCTCGAAGGAGGTTGCCGAGGTTGCCGAGGAAGCCATTGCTTGATCGGGGTTAGTTCGAGGGTGTTCAAACACATTTTTTTTCACACAATTTGGGTTCAAGGAACCCAGGGCACAGCTTGAGCCAAAATGGCATGCGCCATTATGGTCAAGCATTTCAAACACAGTTCATGTTTCCACATGCGTTTCAACATTAACAAAAAATAAGCCATTGAGGCCGTTTGGGACCTTGAACACACACAGTGAGTTGAAGCAACGGCACATACGTCGTTTCGTCGAACAATACACCTGCGTTGCAAGCTTTGATCCCATAAGTCAGACTCTGACGGTGATTGCGATCGAGCGCACGATCCACAATCGATCGGCGATCGCTTGGAATTTCCATGCGCGTGCTAGAAATCAGAGGCAGACCAGTATTCATATGGGGGTTAGGGGAGGGACCTCTGTTTCCCAAATAATAAGCGCCTCTAAAAGTGAATTCACCCCACTCACAAACTCACTTCCAGATTGGATGGGCCAAAACAAGTACTCAAACTGTCTGCTTGCCACTGAAATGGTCCAAACCCAAACAGTGGGTAAAATCCAGGCGCGGAGGCAGTGAGCAAAGATTTCTTTCGTCAAGTTGCAGAGTCTCCTGTCTCAGGATTGGCGACTTCGTGGCTGTCGCTGGGGTAAGTGGGCCAAAACCAAAACCACAACCCTTCAAGACTTAAATTAAGCAACGGACAAAAATCAAAACGACCCAAAGATCGGTCGTGCTGTGACAGGCTCCTTCCGTGTCTCGGGGCTCTGTTGAGCGGCTCTGTCGAAGTCAGCGCAGGCGAAGAAGGCGATGTTCACGGCTTTGGGCCGTGGCGGGCACAGAATCGTGAGCTTCGTGATGACACCTCCAGGAGTCCCATTCTCAGCGTTTTTCTTCGGGGAAAAATGAGAACCATGTCCAGTGGTTAAGTCGAATTCCCTGTAGCACCAGGGGAAGCAAGTGGGAGGTGGAATCTTGAGACAACACAAAGGCCAAACAAGGCGAGTAGGCTGTAACCATTGTAAGGGGACCAACCCCACTTATAACCAAGTTGTAACCATCAATATAACCTACTTACTAAGTTGGTTGACCATCCAAAGCCCAACTTCAATCATGGGAGGATGATTCATTTGGGTATGCGTCCGACCATGTTCTTTCCCCGTTCTGGCCAGCATGGGAGTGTCTGGGGGGTAAAAACAAGGTGGGCAGTAACCATGGCACGAGCCTACTTGCATGTCCCCCGAGAAGAGTTAGCCCTTGCCAATTACTTGCCAACGTGGCCGAATACTCAAGTCCCACTTGTCCCGTTAAACAAAAAATGAAACATTCCGTGTTGTCAACGGCGACTTCCGCAAAAGGTTCCCAGCGTTATTCCAGGGTCACTGTTTTTTGGAAGTAGGGTCCCTGGCATAGAAATCCCACCGCATTCCGAAAAAGACAAATTGCATCCCACACCGCTGCAAGGACCCGAAAAAAGCGAGAAGGGCCAAGATGGCCGCTACTGGACCTGTTGATGGCTTTGCGCTTTTCGCGGGTTCCCGAATTTCAAAGGGCGGTGGCGGTTGGTAGTTCGACAGGGGTTTGAAGAAGTTTCATGAGTGATATCACATGAGTATTTCTGCACTCCAGCAGGGAGGTAACAGTTCCCTGGCAACATGCGGGAATTAACTTCAAATTCGCTCAGTCCTGTTTGGGGGGGGGTTCACATACTACAACGAGGCAGTCCCCAAACCCTGTCCCAGTGCCCCGCTCGGAAAAAGAGGACCCCTGAAATGACTATGCCTTGATGGGGATCCCACCAAACAAACACATTGCCATGAGTTAAGGGCACTTCCCCCTCAACGATGAGCAGCGCTCAAAAAGCATTCATGCCAACGAAGGTGTATGCGCTGTCCATAGCTTGAAACCATGGTAGTATCACCTACTCAGGTGCTTTCTTGCTGCTTCTCAGCAGCGAATCCATTGGGGATTTGGGAATGAACTAATGGATGCCTTTGAAGCAAACTGGAAGGGGATGATTCAGTGCGGGGTCATTCCCTCACTCCATCATTCCCACCTAGGCCCCGCGCATATGTATTGCGTCGCCAACTGACATCGAACTTTGGCGGGCAAACCCAGGCCCATTTGCCTGATGGTAGGTTGGGCAGCAGTCATGTTTTCTCCTTTAGTAGATGATAGTAAATCGGGAAATCCCACAAACGTGGCTGGTTGCTGTGTTTCCTTTAAACCAACCCCCCAAAAAAACAACAACAAAAAGAACACAGCGGCAAATCAAGTTTCGGGCGCGAGATGCCATTTTTTCCGCCAAAAGGTCTCTCCTTATGCGCCACGTGGCCCCAGTAACATGTTCATTTGGACAAGGTCTCCATTTCTGGTGGTTTACTTTCAAGGGTTTTCAAACAAAACCGAGTTGCAACAACCCACTGGGTCCACAAAAACACTTCTTTCAAACAAGTTGAACAGGCAATGCGCCCTTTTGCATTTAGTTTAAGTTTCCACGCAAAGACAAATAACCACCCCACTGGGTGTGACGTCGGAAACGTCAAGGCCGATCGCCGATTGCCAGCCTAAGGTGCCTTCAGAACCGATGAATAGCTGAGGCAAGCCATAGCCTGACCGGCAGGCGAAAAGTGGGGCCCTTGAGTCTGAGGCTGGGAACCCAAACTCGTGTGAGTCACAATCAAAACCGATCGGTACTAGAACGGTCTGCCCAGAACCATGTTTAGAATTGAACAGTCGGCGGCACCCATTTATGGTTGTGACTATCCCTTACTAACCTTCATCAACCCGGGATTTGATTTGTGGCTCAGGTGAGGACGAAAGGCCAAACAAAATTACCCGCGTCAGCTTCCCCCAAATGGGTTTGGATTGGTTTGGTTGGATTTGCGCCCCTTACTCTTGAGGGTAAATTCCAACCTCCGCCTCCGGGACAAATCAACGCACTTGCCCAAAAGACCCAAACCCAAACGGGCTGCTAAACCTTCTGAGGCCATGACTGACGCGCTTCCAGAGTGGATTGGCCAAACACGTCCCCGGGCTGCTTTTCCAGGAACTTCACAAAAGCAAGAAGCTTATGAACTCAGGAAGAAACACTGGAAAATCACAAGGTCTCTTGTGGACTAAAACATACCGTAGGTAACAGGGCCAGGTTGATTTCTCCAGGGTTTACGCTTTTTCAAGCCTCGGGTTGGGATTTGTTGCAGCCAATGGCTTATAACCCACCCAACCCAAACATTGGACGAGAACCCGTTACAACCCAAGCAACCCTTCGAACAAAAGCCCAACCCAAACACGTCAAACGTATCGCCGTGTTGTCTCGTGGTGAGGCGCCGGTATTGTCCTTTCGCAGCGCGGAGAGGCTGTTCACCACCTGAAAGCCGGCATTTGGTCTCCGAATGAGCCACGGTCCCAATTTACAGTTGGACATAGGGAAGGTTTACTAAGCTGAACGCTATATGGAGTTTGTTTCCCAATTCATTTGGGAGCATGTTTGAGGCTGTCACTTTCATGGACCCAGAGAGTCTGCTTTTTGGTTGAAGTTTTGAGAGTCCATGTCCCTCACAAATGGATAGACTGAATTTGTTTGACTCATCGAACCAAGTGACGAGTTGGACTTCGGAACCCTTTGGAGGGCATCACCTCCTTTACTTCGGTGGCTCCCATGTAAACCCAACAGTGGGCTTGCTCAAGCCCAGTTGCAGCCTCATGTTGCCTCATGTTGACCCTGTGTTAACGATATGGGGTTGTTCCCCCTAAGTGAATCCGGGCAATCCGGGGTCATCAAAGGGAAACCAAAGGAAACCAAAGCGCCGAGTTCCTATTCTTCACGAACCTAAAGTGACGCCCTCCCAAAAGTCGAAAGGACATGCACTGGAGGCGGAAGCCATGCTTAGCGTCTTCCCCTTGCGTGGGCCCAAACATGTTTCTCTCAAGGATTATCATTGGGGAGGTCCGCAGGGTAAAGATTGAAAATCGATAAGGATAGCGATTTGCATTTCAGTTGCACTCCAATGTATCCCGTATCCACATTGACCATAGATACTTGGAGGTGCAATCCGCAAAATAGGTTTAGGTTTAGCACCTGTCCCCTAGTTGATGGATTGGTTTGGTGTTTTGGACCTTAGAAAATACCATACCCCACTTTGCTTCGAAGGGCCGGGGTTCAAACCTTGGAAGGGCTACATGATTAATGGGTTCAACACCCAAACTTCAAAGGGTTGAGATACAGGAAGCAGTTTCCTGTAGATTTTCCTGTAACCAAACCCGTTGAAAACTATCTGGGCAAATTGCAATTCGTAAAGCAGAACTAAGGCATCCAAAAGGTCGAGGGTGCATGACTTACGAAGGCCTGTTTCCATGCCCCTTGCTCTGCGGCCTGTATGCACTCACGATTTGCCGCGGGTTGGCGCCTTCTTGAGCATGCCCCATTACTACCTTTTGCAGGTTAGTGAGGAATAATCAGTATGTGCTCAAAAGCTTAAAGGTTGAAATGCTAAAGCAAGTCTTACCCATGGTAATCGAGGGAGGCATGATGTAACACACAGGGAGACCTCAGGCCGTGGGAAAAAGAGGGCGCAAAACATTGATCGTTCATGTTGAGCCCGAGCAAAACAACAATGGCAGCAAAGTGCTGGGATGGTGGTTTCGACAGATGGATTGGAAGTTAGGGGCGTCTTCTCGTTGAAACGAAACGGTTTGAATCCTCAAACCATACCGAAGCACCAACAAGGTTCCCCACCCACCTGAGTCAAACTTAGCTTAGATGGGCCAACAAGGCAATCCTGAACGCCACCAAGCAGGGATACATATAGAAAGCGCACAAACAAACACAGGACAGCAGTCAACAAAAACATCAACGGCAAAAAAACAACACTGCAAACCCCTCCTCAAATAAGAAGGACAAAGTGCACCACTCGCCGACCCCAAGTTCCCGCACCTGTCCATCCGCTAGGACCGCCTCCACCCCCAGGACGTTCCCCCGTAGGGACCCGTAGCGAAGATACCGCAAGCCCCCTGGCCGGCAGCCATGTTGTTTGGCCATGCTTTGGTTTCGAACCTGGGTTTGGTTAGGCATGTTTTTATCCAAATTCTGGCTAGGCATGCTTTGGCTCGACATGTTTGGGATGGACAGTTGTGTGGTTGCATTTGTAGACATGTATTGATGATGTGGGAAGACATAGTTGGCCAAACATGTGTGCGGTTAGACATTTTCGTGGCTAGGTTCGACATTCTTTGGTTAGAGGTTCCTGCATGATAGACATCCCTATAGGTAAGCAGTGAAACCAACTATGTGAATCTAGAGGGTCAATTCTTATGGTTGTCAAGAGGGCCCCCAAAAGGGGCTCCCAACCCCAGCTTTTGAGTGCCATTTGAAGGGCCCCGGGGCCTCTGACTGTAGGAATAATCATGGTTATCATCTATAGCGGTAGGTGGATCCACAGGACAAGGTTCTAGCCACACCTTCCCCATTCTGGTCTTGATCATTCTCTTCAAGCATCAAGGCACATGGGTGGTTTCTGAACAAATACGGGTGAAGAGAACAGAATTGGAATCAACCCGGTGTTTAGTAACCATGGAAACCCACAGAAAGGGGTCGTTGCTTTTATGTCAGGGAATATAAACCCCATGCTAAGCAGCCAAACACCTCCTATGTCAGTTCCCTACCGCAAACTGGGTTTGCATTTTTAGAGGGAACACTGTTTGGATAGAGGAAAGCCAACCGGAAAGCAACAATTTTTGGGCCCTCCATTTTGAGAAACCAACTGGCCGGTCCCAGCTAGGACAGGCCGTGTAGTGAAAGCTTTGAGGCCTTGTTCACACTTAGTTTGAAATTCAAGCATGTTGCATTTGTCAGCCTTGTTTCATTCACCTGCTTGTTCGTCTCCAGGCCTATAATACGCATAAAGCTAAAAAAAAAAAAACGAAAGGACAGTGACTCCTACAGCCCCCCCGACATCGAGACCTGCGTTGGTGGCCGCGTTGCCGCCAATGGTACAGGTCCCCTTTGCCTCGGAAAGTGAAACCGACAGATTGCATCGACGGGTCGAGCTGGTTCCGAGAACCGAGTGTGCCTAACCAGCACAAACCAGAATCGGTTGTGGGCAGGTTCTACAATCTGCAACTCTACCTGGAGAATGGAGACCCCAGGCAGATATTTCTGCCCTGCTAATTCATGTTGACCCCGGATTCATACATACATGGAAGATGTCTTTTTGGTGTGTCCCCTTTAGGAATGCGGAATTTGGACATTATGCAATTTCAAACACCTGCCCTCAGCATGGAAAAACAATATGCAAAAACGGTCATGTTCCCGTCGGGCAAAAATGTATTGGGTCAATGAAAAGTACGGGGGGGGGGGATGTGACTTTCTGGGTGTTCTGCAAGCTTTCCAGTGAAAACAACTTGGTTCATCAGTTGGGCACATGGCGCGAGAAGCGCTAAAGTTGGAGCTTCAAAAGTTTGTGCGGTTTCAGGACACTGTGGAATTCGCAGTTTCGCTGAGCTGAAAATTCCCACAAACCCTTTTTTGATGGAACGGACCTTCATTTATCTTTTGGTTCCCATGGGACAACTCCTCAAGACCTCTATAAGGTGATCCAACTCAGAGCAAAAGGCCGATCACCTTTGTTTCCAAGCGGTCTGAGGCGCTCAGGTTCAACCTTTTGGTTGGTATTTAAAAGGAGCCACAAGGAAACTGTAGCCATTTTACCCAGACAGCCAGTGGATTTTCATGGGGACAAAAGCGCACCCTTGGGTTCAAATCCCGCAACCACCAATCCAGACCCACCAACTAAGGGCGGCCTGATTCAAGGGCCACCCGTCAAAAACAACAAGTCGAAAACGGGATGTGCACCCCGGTTTGGGAGGGCTTTGAAATCCTTCGAAACCCGTCGAACCGTCCTTTTGTGAGGCTCTACCCTAGTTGGGGTACAGTGACCATTTTGAGGTTCCGTATTTTTTTTGAGGGTACCAGTTTGGTGTGCTGTTACAGGGAACCAAAAGGAAACCACCCACTTTGGGGCTTCCCTATTTTGAGACAACCCCTGATTTGAAGACACGCCCCTTTGAACACATCGCACGATCCGGGCGATCAATGTCGAAGCCCAGCCGCTCCCAGGTCCAACGGTACCATAAAGTCGTGCTGCGCCAGGTACCTGGGAGAAAATAAAGGATCCCAGTGTTAGGCCCCAAATGGGTCAGGTAAGCCCATTTGAACGAACCCATGGGCAACCCATAGAATCAAGGGGTCGACAAGTAGCCCTGACTCGGAACAGGAATTGTAAACCCCTGGTTCCTGGAGACGTTGGACAAATACCACCAGAAAAACAAACGATAGTTTCTAGCGGTTTCTAGATGAATGCTTGGCCCCACGCTGGGTTGCAGCAAAGATTCTGCATCATAACTAGACTAAAACTATGGCATAATTGCGGGAAACCCCAGAATAGGGACATCCCCCGAAGAGGAAACCGCTAACTTTCGGTAAAGACACACACAATGGAATAGCGAAATGTATTTTTTGTGGGTGAACATTAGCAGGTATACAATGGTCGAGAAACTTGGCCCTTAAGTAGTTGAAAGTGGTACGTATGTCTTCTTACAAAACTGTTTGAAAGTTGCACTTTCTTCCAAGTGGCTACCTAATCTTTCAGTTCCCAGCCCAAGGTTTTTCAATCTTCTTCCCTCCAGGAATCCAGTCGAGGGAAGACAGTACTAATACGACACCATGCCAAATTCTGAGCTTTTTTGATTTTCTCGATGAACAAAAACATGAGAGAACAAAAACAAGTACGATGTTGTACTGCTTGCATCACAGGGTCATGGCAGCCTTTTCTATTCATCCTGAGTTGCCTCAAGGACCCCATGACATGGACGAACCCAAAGATAAGGGGTCATGATCCCATATTCTAAACGGAGATTCCAGGATACGGGACACTAAAGGGTCAAAAGGTCGGCCTGAGGCTTTTTCTCGGTTCGAAGTTCGAACGCCCCGTTCCAAAATTGCTCTCCCAGGGGCTGGTCCAAGTTCTCCAGGACGCACCCCGCCTGCACTGTGACAATACCCGACCGCTGGTCCTCGGCGCTCCAGATTGCGGCTTTGCGGCTTTGCGGCTTTGCGGGTTTCAACGGGACCCCAAGACCAATGTTCCACCCTGGCTTGGTGATTGCTATCACCTCCCTTGCCCAAAGGACCTGGAGTTAAAAGGGTCACCTTTTGGCACCTTGACAAAACATGGGAACACAAAAATGGGAAATACAAAGTTGATGTCATTTGAGTTTGGGGCTGTGCAAGGTTGCAGGATCCTGACCCCAAGCCCCGAGTGAGGAGAATTCCTGGGCAGGTTGGAAAGGTCACCATTTTCTCACCCCGCCCTTGGCCACAGGCTGCTCCCTTCTCGCCTTGCAAAAAACGCGTCAGATTTGGCTGCAGACAAAGAATCCCAAACATCCTATTGCGAAAGGCCTGCAATCCTAGCAGATTCCATTGTTGGCCCTTGACCGGGCCCAGATTTGGAACAAGAGCCGGTCACAAGAAAGGGACTAGCGGCCATTCACCATGGGCCATGATTTCCCAGGGCTCCTAGCAATGGCCCAACCAATGGGTACAGAAAGCGCAATTAGGGGTCCACGCAATTGTTTGTTTCTCACTACAAGTATACCTCCATGTCCTCAAGTCGCTGGGAAAAAATGAGACAGTAATTCTAGCAGTGATAGATTCCCTTGAAAGCCAATAGAGGAACATATATTGTTTGCCTCCGCAAATGGATTTCTATAGATTAGGTTTTACATGATGCGCTGGCTATCTACTATAGTGACTGTTGGTTTTCTCTGGAAGTCATAACTTTGCTGAATGGTTGAAGAAATACAATCCTTCCAACCGGCATGGAAGCTGGCTCCGGGGCTTCTCCAAAGGGAACGCTCTCGTCTTCCAAAACCCTCCGATCGTCTGCTTCCATGGGGGAGGGTAGCCTTCCAAAGGAAAATGCAAGTATACCTCCCTTCCGATCGAGTGAGTCGGCCAAAACGAACCAAACTTGTTATTTACCACTAAAATGGTCCACAGGTGCTCGCCACCCAGGAACTCACGAGATGCGACGCGAATGCGATTTTTGAGACGGGAGGCCAAATCCTCCACCGCGTTCATTCGCAGCAGTGACAGCACCAGCTCGTCGTGGACGGGCACGGAGCCCCCGACCAGGCCTCCAGACGTCCCAGATTTCGAGGGGCAAGAAAAGGCACTCTCGTGGTTTGTTGTTGCTATTTTTTAGCGGACCCCCTCCGAAAAAGAAAGGGACAAAAGAAAGAAACACACGCACACACACACACACACACACACAACAATGGGTCCACAAAGAACTCCTGGGGCAACCTTGTGTTCTTTGCAGAAAACCAGGGTCACTTAAAGGAAGACACGGGTTCAACGGGGTCCCGCAAAAGGAGTACACCCCAAAAACACCTTGTACATTGTACAGTCAGAAACCATTTGCAACAGTTGGTAAAGGTGGTGCTTTAAGGGCCCTCAAAGCTGACACACGTATTTTTTTCCTCGGGAAAACACGCGGGGTGTGCTCCATGATTGTCCTACCCACAAATTGAACATGTCTGGGGAGTGTCCCACTGGGTACGCCCCACTTCCATACAGTACTTATCGTGGGTGTTACTTTGCACCCGGCTGGTTGGCCAACACCTGACCGTCCTTGCTCATTTTGGACTATACCTAGGCTATGGACAACCCTAGGGCCTGCAAGATGTCCGATTAGCCACAAGTCTTCTGTCTAGTTGGCGGTTTGGATTGGTGGTTTGGAGGCTATCACTGGCTTCCGTTTTTACCATCTACAAGAACCAGGGTTTCAAAACCACGAATGATGGGCAACCTGATGTATCATGATCTTCGGATAAGCCAAGAATGACACGAGGTGTCCACCAACAATCTGTTCAAGGATGTTGCTACCACTAGTTCATCAAGCATTGCGGCGACTCTCTTGAGACTGGCCCCCTTTGCAATGAGCCCCGGATAATTTGACGTGCTTCTTCAGGGGGACATGGGGAAATTGGGTGTGCCAATGTGTTCCTGAGACAAACTTTGGGTGGGCGCAGCATCTAGAAGGCAAGCACCAACGAGGGATTTCACCTGATTGGCTGGTTGTTCAATCAGCAAGCATGTGGCAAGTACTCATATATTCAACACATGGAGGCAGCCCTGCCGGGTTGTAACCCAGGTCAAGCGCTTAAGGTGGCCGCACATGTGAAAATCGGGTGTAGTCCTTTGTTTATTAAACAACCTGGGACTTTGCCCATCCATTTCATGGTATTTTTGCCAAAGCCACTGGTATTCGGTGTTCTTTCTTTTTAAACAAAAAGACATGGGAACACGCTGCCATGGCTTCCGGTTTCCGTTTGACTGCCCGTTAAACCAACCTGAAAATGGGCCCCAACTTCGCCTCAAACAAAATCCAACGAACCACACCCAGTGCTTGGGCCCCGCCTGTGTTCCCACCTTGGGGCACCACTGCGAGATTGTGGTCATTGGCATACCTCGATTTGTGATTCTTCTTTTTTTCCTCTTTTTAATCAAAATTCATTGCCTGGTGGTATTTGGGTGAGTGCCCACGTCATCCATACCTTGATGGGGGGCATGGGGTTGGATTGCTTCAAGGAATAAACGTAGGCAAGGACCCTTTTTGGCTAGTGGATTGCGTGTTTGTGTTCGTGGGTGTCTCCGTAGATCCTATTTAGATGATTTGACGCAGCGCTCCAAGGGTCAGGGATCTGGGCAGGACCTCGCTGAAATGGGACGACCCTCTCAAAACAAGGGACCCTCGGCATAGGATACAAGAAAGGAACCGTTTCTAAACCACGAGGAAACCAACCGGAAGCCGGCCAGTTTCAGGACCCTGTTTGGTATGTTGTTTTAGGGGATCGCGTGTGTACGTTAGTAAATCCTACTTAGGTGACATATAATTTTCAACCCGAGAATCTGGTTGGCTGCGCAATCCGTTAGTGAGCACCCTTGGATAAGCCATCTAAGAGTGCTAAATGGGATTTGCAAAATTATCAATTCCCTGTTGATTGTTGGTTCCTTTTGGGACAATTGAAACATATGCTTGCTATTTAGCACCCAAATAACCAAAGTTTCTATCGTGAGGGACTGACCAGGACGACCAAGCACCCCAAGTATGTCAATCAACTTTCTGTGCAGACCCCCCACTGAAATGAAACCTGTGCTGGGACTCAGATCCCCTACAAAAAGCTAATTGTTGCTGGGTTAGAGAGACAATGATGGAGAACCAAAAAAAGCCAAAAGTCTAAAACCAGGTGTTTCCAGTCAATTGCAGCTATAGTAGGTAACCAAGAGAAACCAACATGCAAGCTAAGTCTGGCAATGAAGAGGCGAGCACGGCTCCCGCAGTTCAACCCAAACCCGGCTGGAACTTACGCCATCAATTGCAGGCGGCAACATCCTAAGCACCGAAAGGGTAGAACAATGGCACTCCTGAATATGAAACCAAACCGCCAAACATCAACCCAACAGTAACAGGTTATCATCCGCTGAGAAATAAGCTCACTTCCAAAGTAGTGAAATGGTCTGCCACTGAAATAGTTATTCATTGATTGTTGGCGATAACATTGTCTTCCCAAAAGTAAAACATGTCTAGGAACTCAGGAAGTTAATTGAGGGCATGTAGTGTCAAAGGTCAAAGCTGTCAGGATAGAGAAGCTTGACGATAAATCATCCCCAAACATGACTTTGAGACCCCATCAAAACGACCAAATTAAGTGACCCACACAGAGTACTGACAAGACCAAAGAACCAACGGAAATATTCACACACACGATACAACATACTTCAAGCATATAAGGAGAGTAGATTGAGCAAGGGTTCTGCGAATAGCAGGATGCCATCCTTTCCAACACCCACAAATGTGTCTAAGGGAAACCCTTTTGCACATTTTTGAGGGAACCCATCTCAAAATCCACTTGCCGAACTCTCTTGGGGAACAATGTCCCTTTCAAAACCAACCGGCGAAAGTAACCAACGGGTGTCTTTTTTGAGGGTACTTCATTTGGACGGTCCATGTTGAAATAAAAGCAGATTCATTTCAGCAAGTTTGGAGGTCTGGAGTGCATTCCAAGGCACTTCAGCACTAAAGAGACCTCTTCGGTGGAAGCCTTTCGACCGATTCGGATGGGAATTGTCTGGCCCCCTCCTCTCATGTATTTTTCAGAATTTCGACCGCAAAAGAACCTCCAAAGACTCCACAAGACACAAGCCATGAGGTTCCGCTTAAAACGTCATGAAACAAAACAAACCCCCGTCCCAGTCCAGTGGGCCTGGCAAATGGAAACCTTGTTCAGATCCATTTAAATCACTTCCCCCTTATTGAGAAATGCACTCTAACGTAGTCCCGGAGCTTGGTATGCAGAACCCGGGGTTCCCCCGAGTTGTTTGAGGGGTGTCAAAGGACCGATTTTGAGGCCCCAACTTCCATCTGGATCCTTGGAGTATGAATATTTGTTGTTTTTCCACCCCAAATCTCCCAATACTAATTTTACACCAGCAAATCTCCAATTGACCCTGACTCCAGTCGGAGGAGTGGACACTTTAGAACCAATCCTACAGCATCCCCATGCTGTGTGGCAAATGAAAGTTGTCCGATGTGTGGTTTGGAACTGGTTCAGTAGTTTTGTCCCGGAAAGGGGGCATGGTCTGGTACCCTCGCGTATCCTCTTAAAACGATTCTTGTTCCGGACTGAGGCGGATATCTCTATTAGTGGGGAGGGGCGGGCGGGATATGTGGCATTGGGGGAATTGATTGGTGGGTGACCCACGCGCGCAAAATCAGCATAGAACTAGATTTAGATTTGGGGAGCCTGTCCCTGATGGTTTCCCTTTTGTACTACCCAAAACCGCAAAGTTGGAATTGCACACTCAGCACAAACGGATCCCCAACTTTTTCGGCCAAGCGGCCGGCTTCAAAATGGCCGCGCTGCGCCCTTCCCACTTGCCTCGACTTGCGAGAGTCGCGACTCGCGACGGCTAGCCGAAGCCGAGTCCAGCTGGAAGCTTAACTTCGGGCTACCCTTAGTTGGTGGTTTGGACTGATGCTTTGGGGATTTGAACTCCAGCACCTTTTGAAACCAAAGGAGGGACCTTGAAAACCCGTCTCTCTCGCACGCGCAAAAAGCCAGGCCGGCTGGCTCACTTTGAAGCCCAGCTGCCCATCCAGTCGCGGTTGTATCTGGCCAGCTCCTTCGGAGAAAATCACGAAATCTGTGGTACCAAAGGTGGATTCCCATCCCAATTCCTAGATGTCAGCTTCCCCCCAAACTGGTGGTTTGGCTTGGTTGGAAGTTCGGGAGTAGCTTCCCATTTACCCTCAACAAGAACCAGATATATATCCCGAAGCCTCCAATCCAAACCACCAATTAAGGGTTACCTGACCTGAAGATGACCAGGTTGAAGCGGGCCCCTTTTTATCACGAAAGCAGGGTCCTAAACCGTGTTATCCACAGCTACGAGCAATGCGAAAGGTATTCGCAATGGTCATCCCTACTTGCCTTAGGGGAAAAAAGCGAAATCATCCTGCGAAAATGGGTGTCTCCTGCAACCGTCAAGATGTCACCGGTTTCCTTCTTGGCTCATCCTTTTCAATCAGGGTGTCACTCTGGGCAAAAGTTTAGCATGTCAAAGCAAACGACACCTAAGGATATCTTCCAGACAGTTTTGCAATCTGAGGCACTCTAAGGGGCGTTGGGCTTCCTCCAGAGAAAAAGGAACTATTTGAGGCTCATCCATCAGGACCCTGAATTAGGCCAGTCGTTCAGGGACAAGTCAGCTTCAAACAAGCAGAAGCTGAAGCTGGTCGCCGAGTCCCTCTTAGACCAGTCAAAATCAACATCCACAAGCAAATGCAGCATGTTCCCAAACAAGCATGCTTTTTCCAGAATAGCCCTTTGGGGTTGCTTTAGGGACCCAAATGCAAGTCGGAAAGCTGCTTATTCATAAACTGAGACAAACCCAAATTCTTGTTCGAGGACAAGAGAGGCACCCTCTCTTGCAGGGTGTCCACGCTTTTAGGGGTCCTGGTATTTTGCAAAGCAAATGCCCTGCCTTCGACCTGCTTTGGCCGAAACACCGGGTTCCACCGCCCGAAACCTACGGCTCAAATCGTCCTCGGTCTCCACTTCCTGGGGGGTCAGCACATTCTTCGCACCCAGGATCTGCCGGAGCTTTTGAAGGTCCTCCAGGGAAAAACGTTTGAAGGACGACAAGCTGTCCCTCTGCTTGCAATATTTCGTTACAGGGCAAGTGGTGGGCTGTTTGAGTATCATTTTGTTGCGGAACATGGGATTCTGGCTGTGCGTTTTCTGTGTTTTGGACACAAATTGGCTGTTCTTGAGGGATGTGTGTGTCAATGTCAGTCTTTTTTGCTGTTGCATTACAGCGTTTCCAAGAAACCACTCTAGACAAACCAAAAAGCAAGCAAACCAAAAACCACAAACACAAAACACGAAACAACCATATTCTCAGGCGGCCTTTTCAATGGAACGGCCCTGCCAAGAAAACACAAACACAAGAGAAAACAACAAAAATCAAAAAGACTCCCTAGAAAACAAAAACAATCCTCAAACACTCTTTCTAGAAGTAGCCACTCACTGCGCCAAGAGTTCTGGGGTAGTTCTATGCTTTTGTGCTGTTTATGTTTGTTTTTGTATGTTCGTCTGATCAGGGTTGTTTTGGTTTTTGGCTTTGGCAAGGCCTGATCCAATGTTTGTTGTTGTGTGTTTTGTAGGCGGAGATATGTACGGGTTTTGTTTGTTGGCTTTCTCGAGGATGTTTTGGCTTTTCGGTTTTTGTCAGGGCTGATTCATTTTAGTGAAAGTGTTGCGGTCCCAGAAGGTCCCGCGTAACAATCATTGAAGGAGGCTCATCAAAAAGACTTCTGTGCACTTTGAAAATGCAGACGACTATGAAGTGGTAGCAAGCAAAAGAAAGCACGTGAAATGCAGAATTGGCATACGTTGCGGTTTCCAACTGATGGCTTCGCGATTCAGACCGTGCTCTCGCACCAGTGCTTCACCAGTCTCACCCGAAATTTCTGCTTCAGTTTGACATGGATTATTTGTGGTGAACACGTATTGAATTAATTGTGTGCAAATGTTGACGGATTTGTATTGAAGATTCTATTGGAAGTCTTGTTGAAATCTCAATCTAAAATATAATTTCTGCTTGGATTCTTGCCTTATCAAACTCTATCTAAACTCAAATTGACTCGTAAAGTTCTGTTTGGCTACAAACATTATGTTTTGTTGTGTTTCTGACCATGGTGCTGGGGGCTACAGTAGGTAGAAACATGCTTTGACCTCCGAATTGTTGCCTTACAAAATGTGACTGAATCTTTATGAAGTAATCACCTTTCACTATACCTCACGTTCTAGCTGACTTTAAATATAATTGAATAGGGCCAGACCATATTGAACATGAATTGGAAGACAAATGGATTTCTTCAACTTACGCTGTACACCGGATGTCCATTGCAATCGAGTGTTCTGTACCAAACAGCTACCATATAAAAACATTGTTTGAACAAAAAGCTCCGCAATGAGCAAAGCAAGGGCAAACACCAGATACAGACTTGCATACACAAGCAGGTCAAAATATAGCCAATGTGCACTGCCACGGTACACTTTTCAGATTGGTTGCCGGGGAAACCGACAGCATCCCCACCTCAAAGATGGGGGGGGACTGACGAAGCCACGAAACAGGGCGACGCCTAACCGCTTGGAAGGTCACAAATTCTATGTGGGTTCTATGGGGGACCCACTAAACGCTGAAAACAAACCGAGTAAACAAAACACCAACCACTTTCTGAGGTTCCCAATTAAAATTTGTAGCCAGGGGTGGGCAATCCAACTCCCTGCTACAACTTTCTGAGATCTTGTCAGTGCCAGCTGCCTGACTCAGCCTTGACTGCTCCCTTCCACAAATACTGTTGGTCCCCCTTTGATGGCCAGATCGAGTCAGCTGCTGAAACACACATTTCGGCCTCGGCGCCAGCAAAAGGAAAAAACACACCTGGACCCATGCTTGGCCCATAGGTGTCGGCATGCCGTTGGGAGGTAGGTTGCCGCTTATAAGCTTGTATCAGCTACGCCGTCCTCCAAGACCAATAATTACCTGAAAATTCAGAAGCCTGAGTCAAAAAAAAATCAGACCCGCAGATTTAAGGGAACCAGGGATGAATTCAGTAGATAAAAAAAAAGGGACGACCTGAATCAACATGTGCAGCCAGTGACACGTCCGGTAATTGCAAGGTATTCACGTCCGGTTTAGTGGGGAACCTAAAAGAGGGGGTCGAAAGGTGCCTCTTTGCCAGACGGATCTGTTTCTGTAGCTTTTCTGGTTTTCTTCCAAATTGTGTACCCCAAAAGTGCAGTTCGCCTTTCCAGAACCTGGGTCCGAGCAGGTCGTCCGTGGAGACGAGTGTGGGATATTTACATAATGTTGCTCTCTCGTTTTTCAAAACCCAAATATGATCTTCTAGAAATGGCAAATTCAAACAAACAACAATCAGCAGGACGCGGATCAGTTTTGGGGAGAATAAACACAACACATCTTAGTTCACCATCAAGATATAGTTGAACCGAAACTGTTTGCTAGATAGGAAACAATCATTGTGAGAAGGGTCAAACCAGATTCAAGGTCAGACCAAACAAATCAGGGGACTAAGCCACAATAAAAGCCTTGATAGTTGCAGGTAGAGAACATACACCATAAATGGGCCGCTTGTTTGCTTATTTACATGCGAGGTCAAAACTCCTCCTCGATCGCGGCCATGATTCCTGTAGTTCCCTCAATAGGAACCCCTTGCAGATCACATTCCCTGGGGTGCATAAGCATCCCTACTAACCAAAATGAAAGGGTTTGTTGAAAAGAGGGTCGTGGGGCAAAAGCGAGGTTCCCCAAATCTCTCCTGCCCGGAAACCCCAACAAGTTAGAGTTGGATGAAAGTAGATGCCCTAAAATCTTGGAACCTCAAATAGGCCTTGGGTGAAGTCTAAAAACCTACCAATGGAGATTCCTTCCCCCGTCCAATGGAGGTTTCCTTCTGGCTCCCTAATCTTAACAAACCAGAACAAACTGCGTCCGAGTCCAATCGCTCCTCGTCCCTGAGGGAGGCAAAGGTGCCGCGGGCCGCCTCAATTGAAAGTCGAGTTGGGCGTATGGCACAAAGCTGGTTGCGTAAGCGGTCCCCTTTGTTGTATTTTTCCACAGGGATTTGGTTTTGCCAACTCTCCATGTCGACAGCCCAGTGCTTCCAAGGGTACCTCAAGCATGCCTCTATGGTAAGAAACCATGGGTTGGCTCTTACCTCTAGGCTTTACATGATGCCTCTTTCCGATGGAAGTGGAAAGGGAGCGAAAAACCAGAATCTAAAGTCTAAACAAACCTCTGCTTAACTAGCGTCCACCCAATTGAGAATATGCTAGCTTGACTAATTTAAGGAGAGAATCTGGGCAAACTGATGTAATTCCTAAACCGGACACAAACAAATCCAAATCAAAAACCTTCATCATGGGTGAGCTCTGTTTCCCTGCAGGTGAGCTTGTGGTGCTTGCCCAGGAGAGTGCGTGTGTGGGAGAGAGAAAAATGGGCCTTCCCTGGCCCAGGTCAAGTGGCGGTTCATGGAAAATCCCTCAGTGATTCAGAGTAACCACGTCATAGGATCCCCAGCCCCCCAACCCCTGCCCGAGTGAAAACAAGCCTTACAATGCGAACCTTGGATTAATCAACCCAAGTTTATTAGTAGGGGTGTGAATGTGGGTCTAGGGACAGTCTGTCGGAGGGCCCCGCCTATTACTTGGACAGTTTTGTGGTGCTACGGAAAGCCTTCTTTGAGATGGTGGCCAGCAAAACCAAAACAGACAAAAACCACATTTCGAATGATAAACCTTTTATCTTCTGAATGAGGCGCGGGTTGAAGAGCGGAAAGTTGGTCCCTAGCTCGAATGATTTCATCACCGTGTTCCAGTCGGAGCAACCCTGAAAAACACCATAAATTGGGTCCCCCATGGTTTGGCTGCGCAATAGTCAGTGACCTTGCAAAACCCCAAAGACTCCTCCCCCAACCCAGTTTGGCCTCAGTTGGCCTTGGCCTTCGTCTCAGTTGCGTGGGCCGCTAAAATGGGAGCCCGACACCTGTTGTGTTCAGATAGCGCGGATTCGCTGTTGGCAGAGGAGTTGGTGCCAATTGGCAATCCTCGGCCCCCGGGCAGTGGACGCAGTCTGCAAATTCCGCGCCGTCCAGCGCGAAGGCCACACCGACACCGCCAGCGGCGTGGCGTGTGCGGACAAGGCCCCGCGGCGCAGGGGCGACAGAAAGGCGAGCATGGCAACAGCAAATTCGATTGCTCACTTGACCAAGTGGGGCTAGTACTCTTCAGTGGTGGGTTAGGGGAAGGTTATTTTGCACCTTTCTGGTTTGCATCTTTTTTTAAGTGAGGGAGGAAAGGGCAACACCCACAGGATGCCAAGGGTGTAACGGAGTCATGCTCGACTCACCCTACAAACACCTAAACGCTTCGCACGTGCCGCGCGCTTCATGGTTTAAACTCAGAATGATTTGTTCTACTCTTGAGGATATGCACCGTTCAAAGCTGGCTATGAACCGATCTTGGGAGGCCGAGTGCATGTTTGTATTTTGACGTTTACATGTATCTTGGGGTTCTTCAAATTTGTATCTTGTAAAGTCTCAATTTCTGAGAGCTGAAGCCGGACAGAGAACTCGCACTGCACGATAGCCCCGTAGGAAAAATGGCCTTTGGGGCAGTGCCCCAAATATACCCCCTATACATACTATACACCTCTTACACATGTCCACCATACAAGTTGCTTACTCCCCAAAATGGAGATAATTTACGGTTGGGGCATGTTCTCGGAACAGTATGCGGTGCCGATACTCGGACCCCTTGGGTGGAGATATTCTCCCATGCGCTTGTTGCTGTCGGAGAATGTGCGAGAGTACATGTGCAACCTCCGCCCTACCTTAAGGGGGAGGGTGGAGGGGGTGTCCCCGAATTCCATTTTTCCAGCCTTTCTCAGAAAAGGAACAATGGAACTAAATGGAATTCCAAGGGTCACCCCCCTCCCTCAGTTCCATTTTTCAGGGGGTGGAGATGTCACAACCTCCACTTACGACTTAATTCCTGAAAAACCTATGAGATGCCTTTTCTAGCTGACAAACTTACTGAATTGGCCGCAGTAGTTGGAACGCAAGATACCGGCCTTGAATCTTCATCGTTTTTGGGTGGACTCCTTATCAGGATTGATTGAGGCTTACCCTTCACCAGAATTATGGGTTCTCGTACCCAGACCAATCCACATCACTATATAATTGAGGGCTCCAAGCTCCCCTCTTTAGACCTTTCGCCGGCTTGATGAAGAAGCCATTTGGGCTTGTTGTTTCTGGAAGGCGCTCTTCTTGTGCTTGGTTCAAAGCAAAAGCAACAAAAAAACACTATTTCGGGGTCCCCTAAATACACCAGCCCCCCCAAAACACCTCCAAAAATGGTCTATTCTAGTCTTCAGCAAGGGGGGTGTCTTTGCCGGGGGGGGGGGGGGGGTGTTGGGTTCCCTTTCAGTGGGGTGTGAACTTAGCGAGCCATTTTCGCTTTCTGTGCACTTGTCACGGGTGTGCAGGGCGGCTTCAGGGCTGTGCTTGGGATTCGAATCAGGACGTTTGCCTGTTTATGTTCAGCAAGCCAAAGCGTACTACGACGAGGTCTTGTTTGGCCTTCATAAGACTTACCATGGCTGGTCTTTGGTGTAACCCTTGCCCCTTAGACCTGTTGGAAACAAACATGTTTTTCCATTAAGAGCAACCCGTTTCCTCCTCGGACAACTGACTTCTCAGGCATGATTCCGGGAGAGGGGCTGGGGGTTGGGGGTGGTGTTGGCTTGTTGTGATAAACGCATTTGACGAAATGTGTGGTTTCTTTCAGACCTTTCCCCGCTCGGTTTCAGAAAGACATCCGGGATCTGGGTGCAGCTGGGGTGCAAACAGAGATGGTCGTTTCCCTCGTTTGGTTTAACCACCATTTTACAATTCAATGAAATGGCAGCCACACGTAACACTTCAAGTCTATGAGCTCAGGCAGGATCTTCCCTACAAGAGGTCCAAAAGAGGGTCCTTTTTTGTAGGGTGGGTGGAAAAACCATTTTCACCAACAGTTTTTTGCAGGGCGATTCGGTCACACCAAAGACCAGCCATGAAAGAAAAGAACAACTCCTGATCCATGATCCATAATTCTAGGACAAGAACTGGAAACACGACAAACTCCTTCCGGAGCCCACGAGGATGTTGCAGATTGACGAACTGAACAGCCCGCTTATTTTCGGCCATATGGGTGCGATTTTTGATAGGGGACCATCAGTGGGGACAAAAAGGTCCACCAACCACTTTAGAGGTGGTTCCAACTCTTAAAAATCATAGCCATAGCATTGTGTCTTAAGACCAAACAAGGTCACATATGCGTCTGACCCTGGAGGTACCACTGGAGGTCTGGATACCCTCATTTGGGGGAAACAGAAACGTCCATTGTCCTAAGTCCCATGCCAAAAAGATATGTCCAGCTTCCCTTCAAGACCAGTGAACATCAGAAAAACAAACTTAAGCCAATGGAAGCAAGGTCGAGTCGGAAAGTCTAGTCAATCCGCCCGTCACCCCAATCCACGTCTATAGGCATGGGCTCCCGGGCGCCGCCGCCGGCCATCGCCTCCTGCAGCTCCGACATGGCGCGGAGCTCTTCCTGGAGATTCGGCTGTTGCTGCACGAAGCCAAGTGGCAGCCCTCGTTTCCCCTTTTGTTTGGTGGCTTCCCCCAAAGAAAGGTGAGCCACAAGAAGGTTCCCCTTCCACCTGGCTCCCTGTGCATATATACTTCCCCAAACACAGGGGAGAAAGTCAATACTCAACCCAAAAGCCTAAAATATGTTACCTGCTTAAAACGTCCGCCTTAAATCGGACACACAGGTGATGTTTGAAACCACCAACAGGACCCCCAGAGGATTTCCTTGGAAAATAAGGGCACTCTGTTGTTGGTAGTTGGGACATTCTCCAGGTAACGAATACCACATAGCCACAAAAACCCGGGGCTTGGGCTAGCTTACTGGAGCATTTCCAGTGTATCCCAGTTACCATAGGCAACCCTTCGATCCATGTTCCTTTCGGCTCTTGAAGGGTTCCCTTTGATATGCAGGGACATGGAATCAACCGGTCTGCTCAGCTTCCCTGTAGTTTATTGTCTGGAGCGTGCATTGGCAGTTGGGGTTATTTACCCTGCATGCTTGCATGTGGGTTATCATCTGGCTAGCCAACTACTTGTTGCTAACTGGGTCAGCCATCCTAGTGAAGTTTAATGGAAACACCTGTTGATTTTAAAATGTCTGAAGGCCCCAAGACCAGCCACGCTAGAAAAGACTAGGTTGGTGATCTGGCTTAATTGCCGCGCATCTGCCTTGGGTGACTTCCTTTTGCTAAAGTTCCATTTTACTGTGCTCTGTTGGATTCAACGAGAATTTGTCACTAGAAATATGTTTTTGTGTGTTTTGCAGGGGCCGTGCTCGCAAATGGTTGGGGTCACGATCCACAAGACAATCCCATCCCTGTGGGTCCCAAGGTCAGCGCATAAAATTGTGTCTATCAACAAAACATCAGAGCCGGAGGAAGTAGTTGCGGTTCTCCAGGTCACAGGTCCCTGCTTAAGTCTCTACCACTATCCAAAAGGGTTCTCAAATTTGAGACCGCTGGGAGAGCATGAATTGCAGAACCCGATGTTTTAGAGAATTCCCATTCTCACTCCTAAATCCAGTCTTCCCCACAACAAGGCAGGAACCACTATTTTAAGACACATCCATCGGGTGGGGGTGGGGATGTCCAGGCGAAGCATCACGTCACGCCTCAGCTACTACCGCCCGCGCGCGCTGCAGCAGACCGACGCCCTGGGCGTCCTCGGAAACAAACAAGCCAAGCTCGCATCAGATATCCCCAACAGCAACCTGGGACCTTCCGGAACTCTAGCCCGGAGCGGCTCCGAACGCAGAGCCTACGAAATCCGCCCTCCGGTAGTTTTTGAGAAAATGAAGCTAAGGGTTTAGAACCTTGCAGGTCCACATTTCCTCGATTCGGACTTGGACCTCAAGCTCTCTACCCAACCAAAAGGGCTCCCTTGTTCTTGTGAACCACTCAAACCAAAAGGGCCAAGGGGCACAAAGGGTGAATTATTCGATGCCGAAGTGTACTTAACCCCATTGCCCGCGCAGTTCCTAGCTTGGGACAAAAAGGCATAGAAACCCTCACCTCACCCGAAGCATCAGAAAGGACTATCCTTGGGGGAAAGGGATCTCCGTTCGTTGAAGTGTTGGACCTCAAACAAGTCCTATTTGATTCGGGTAGAACAGCAGATTAGAGATAGTCTTAAAAGACTGAAAGCTCATGAACCTATGCACCCATACCGAGACCCCGGAGCTGTCCCATTTGTAGACGAGTGTCCCCTCCCAAAAGTGATGAACCGGCAAAAGCAACCAGGTGTTCTGCTTCATCCAGGGTTCCCATTAGGCGCCATTGGTCATGGCAAATATTTTCAGTGATACCCTCCCAAAGACACGTAGAACCTGCACAGGGGTTCCTGGACAAGCATTTTCCTTTTCAGGGGTCTGGAGGAAAAAAGTGCTTTTGAAAAATAATGAAGGTGAACACTCATGCCTGCAACCCTCGCGTTTTTCTCTCATGAAGAAAGCTGGCTGCATGTCTATGTCTGATGGTGTTACAAGGAGGCAGGCATTGGGCACGCGCAACACGTGCATACACACTCACCAAGCAAGCTGAAGAGATCCAGAATGCAAGTGAAGATGGTTGCTGCAACAATTTGTGTTGTTTCTCCTGGTTTACATATATATATATAAACAAATGTAAATTTCCAAGAGAGGAAAAGGCCAGGAATCCAACAGGGCCAGCCAAGAAAGACACTAGCCCCGGAAATTCCGAGCAACTCCATGTCAGCAATTATGAAAGTTGACGGCCGCGCAAAGCCTGTGGTAGAAACCGAGACAAGCACCAAACGAGGGAATCCAACGGGGCCGAAAAAGAACCAAACCCCGGAAATTCCCGGAAGTTCAGAAACTCAACGCAACCCTGTAACAGACTCATTTTAGCACAAGTCTTTTACAAGTGAGTAATGTCAAGTGGCGCTGCTGGCGCGCAGCGTAGGCTTGTCGCATTCACAGGGCATGTGACCGAATTCAACGCTAAGCACTCTAAGGAGTGTCCTGGGCACGCAAAGAAGCTTTGATTGCACGGAAAAGTGCTCTAGGCGCCGCTTGAATGCACTTGGCACACACGTTCATGCTTGGGCCAAGACCTGCTCCACGAGAGCACGGCTGAGACGCGAAAGGCTCCGTTCTGGGAACATCTGACTCTGAACTGGAAGAAGAAGAAGACACTGACTCGGAAGCAGATGCTTTGGCCGCATCCGGAACAGAGAGCTCGCCGGAAACAACTCTAGCCCACGTGAGGTGAGCTGCCCTTAAATTATCAAAGGGGACTGAAATGTCCTTAGAGTTCTTCAGAACAGCCCAAACAGCCCCTAACAGCTTGGCCTTGGAATCAGCAGCACTGCGAACTTTCTCGTTGGCATAATGCTGCGACATGCACAAAGAACGTGACGGCACATGTTCGAGCTGCACCGTCTCTACCCAGTTGCCAAGATGCTGCGCTACTTCCGGAGGACAGCGCACAATTTCGGCAACGGTGGGCAAGAAGCGGCGAAAGGAGTAAGAGGACACCGTGCTTGCACTACTAAGCCCTGGCAGCCGATGTACCAACAGCTTCCTTAAAAGACTCACAAACCTTGACAAAGGCATAGCTCTGGGCACCCAAGTAGCATCAGACTGGATTTGCATAGAAGGGCCAAGAAGCAAATCCGGCACTACAAAGCTGGTCTTATCGCAACGGGCGGCAACATCATTCACAACGCGCAAAGCGTGCAGGAAAACTGACTCAAACCCAAAGAAACCAGCAAGGCATCCCCATTCGAACGGAGGCCGTGTGTGCTGTCGTCGGGACTTCCCTTTTTTACAAAGGCCAAGCAAGAATGGGCCATCAACCCGCAACTGGCAAGATCGTTGGAGGTGGGCGAATCGCAAACATGCTGCCAAAGGCATAAGGGCAAATCCAGCAAAAGCTGCTTCAGTTGGTGGTCCGCAGGCCGCCAAACTGGCTAGCACTTTTACTGCACACAACGCCAACGGTTCCTTCGGAGCTGCCTGGTGGCCCTCCGCTGGCCGGTTCCACACTTGCAGCAAGGGGTCGTGCAGTGGGAACGGCACACCCACGTGTGTACGCCACCACAACAGTTGCTGGAACAAGTGATGAGACACAGTTGGGCCTCTAGAAGCCTGGGTTTGCAAGAAAGCGAAGACAGCCTCAATTGACGGAAACAACGGAGATTTGTCTGCTGCTTCACGCGATGCCACAAAGCGACGCCAACGGCGCCAAGCTGAAACATGACCCTGCAAAGAGGATGCTTCAAAGGCGCCTAGGCGCATTTGCAAGGCATCTTTGGCTTGCTCAGGCAAGTTAATGAGCAGAGGCGAAAAGAGAAGCCCGCGTGCTCCCAACTCAGAGTACACTTTCCACATAATCTCAAACGGTTCCGTGGCGACTATTGGGCCAGCGTCACTCGGTCGCCGCCACAGCACTTGAGACAAACTACCAGAACGTGCTACTGGCTTCAGTTGCGGCGCCGTGTGAGGGACAGGTTGACAGCTCAACTGGTGAAGTGGCTTACCTAGATGCCTCCGAAAGACTGAGTCAGCAACCCGGATAAGCTCCACCGCATCTTCTTCCAACAATATACCACCAAAAAATTCAACCAGCTCACACGGCCTCAAGTTAGCCAAGTCTGATTCGCAAGCAATGCCCCTGCGGCGCAAAATGCGCACAAGACCTGGGTGGACACTTGCCAGAAAGGCTTCGGAAAAGCTAGGCTCCGGTGCCCGCGCAAGAATTGGCGCAACGCTTACCGAGGGCCTTGCCGAGTAAGGCGACTGACGGCTTCCATGGCAATGTCGCATACAACACCTCTGCGTGCCAATGGGCGCGCACAGGAAATACCAAAATGGCTAGGCAGCCCAAATCGAGACAAAAAAGTCTTCGATCGATGGCTGCCTTGAGCCAAAATGGCCAGGCAGCCCAAATCGAGACAAAAAAGTCTTCGATCGATGGCTGCCTTGAACCGCGCAGACATCAATGTTCACGCTTCAAAGACACAGCCTGCCAATCCCAGCCAGGCCAAGCTGATTCCAAACATCCGCTTCCCCCAGTGCCTCCAGATACCTCTATAGGTAACCATGGTGTTTTACGTCAAAGTTTTACATTCTGTTTTCGCCTTGATACTATACATTGTGGTAACTAGAAGCAGCTTTGAAATTCATGGGTATACCTAAAACTACGGGCTATTTGGCACCCAGCGCAGACCCTGCACTTACCTTGGCTTTGATTGCGGGCCACAATCAAAACCGAGGTAAGTGCAGTAATTGTGGCCCGTAGCGACGATCAGTCGGCCAATGAAGGCCCTCGAGCCCAGGGCCGGAGTGTTGGCTCCTGATTAACATGAAACCCCACGCGCTTTTTGAAAGGGATCTCCTTTTGCGGGAACCCATTCTGGATTTCGAGCTCATCTTCGGGGAAGAAGCGGGCCCAGTCAATTTTGGGAAAGAAGGACCACACAATTGCACCCCCGCCCCTGTTTCAGCGCCACAATGCGAAAAGATGCAAACTTTACATATGGTGTGTGTGTGTGTGCGTGTCTTTCTTTGAGGGTACCCTTTTCCTCTTCAGGCTGGCTTAAATGGACGCCAAGCCATGTGGGAAGGTCCAAATCCCCATTTTGACACGTACTATGTCTTGGGATCCTGTTATATTGCGCTTAAAACACAATTTTGATCCCTACAGTCCCACAACGCGTCAGACGTGTGGGGCCCGCGAACTCAGCGCCGCACCGGATATTCTTCAGGCTGGAGGGTAAGCTCCGCCTTCTGCAGCGCAGACCGCAGGTCCTAGCGAAAGGGAAACCGCAGGGACTGCAACTATGCCGTATCTCTGGGGTGTCCCATGGAGGGGCCAGGCATCTGCGTCTTCTGTTAGAAGCCCCAAGAGCGTCTGGGTAGAGAAAGGCCTCAAGAGGGCCCGATGATTTCCGTCGTTTGCTCCTTGAGCATGCGGTTCTGGATGGCTGTGGCCAGTCGCGTCACCGCTGCCTGCTTCTCGATCAGCGACATGAACACGTCCTGGCGCACTCGGAACGCAACTTCAAGGGATCAACGAGGAATGACTCTACCCCTACTCCAAATAATTGCCTTTTGTTTGGGTACATCTTGAACAGCTTTTTTGTTCCTTGGTGGATACTAACTGTAGTCAGGGATTGCTTCATAACACAAACCAATATAGGAAGTACGATGCAAATAGCTGCAAACTTGACAACACATCCAAAACTGGACATCATGGATCCACAAGTAAGGGACCTACATCATGGTGAGCTCGCCTTGCCACCAAGTGAGATCGACAGAAAACTTGGCGTGTGAATCCCTTGCTGAAAGATATGCCTTTTGGGGACAGTGTGGATGGACAAATTCCTGCACCAAATGGTCGGTGGTTTATCCTGCTATTCATAGAGCTTCATCCATCCCAACTGGTGCAGGAATCTGTTCATCCACAGTATGTCAGAAATTCCTCGAAAATCTGTACTTTTTGGAAACTGCCAAGTTTACTGTTCGGCTGGGGCTGGCGAATAGTGGGTGCCTGGAATATGCCAAGAGGGATGATAGAAAAAGCCACCATCCATGGTTTTACCTGAGCACAGGAACTTCTGGGACACCAAACATCCCCAAAGATTCGGAAGGAACCTTGGGTGAGAGGGCGTACAATCAGCATGATCATCTCACATATGCAAACACAATGCACCTCATTTCTTTTGGTTCTCCTTGAAACCAACCGCAGCACGGGTACCGAGCCTCGAAATACAGTCCTCAAACACCAACCCTCAAACAACTACCTGGAGTCTCCGTGACCCTCGGAAGATGGGGTCATAACCCCTAATTTTGGGTCACTGCCCCTACTTTCCAAATATCAGCCACAACTCCAGATACTCCTTTCAATTTCCTTAATATGAAAACGGTTCTCAAAAAACACAACCCACTTGGCCCATCTTTGCTCGCTCAATCTCGCCGCCTCGCCCCGGGACAGCAGCATGGTGTCCACATTGGAGCGACGCCCCTGCTCCAGGGCCATGGAAAGCTCCTGCGCAAGAAAACGAGGACGATCTGTGCGATGGCTTGGCTTAAAGCAGACCTTTGAACCACCAAACATAGGTGGGGGGTGAATTGAAATGGCGAGCGTAGGGGGGTTTAGGGTTGGCTTGGGTGTGGATGGGTTTGGTGTGGTTTTAGGGTGGGTTTAGTCTGCGTGTGTGAGGGCATGTGCATGCTTTGGGGTTTGCACCCACAACGTGGGCTTTGGTTTTCCTCTTGGCCTCCCTTCAAACTTTAAACCACAGCAAACAAGTTGCCAACTCCACAAAAGGACACAGCCACTCAGCGAACGTCGATCAAACGAGCAGGGCGATTTGGTTGGGTACCTATCAGCAAAAGCTCCCAAAGGAAATCCTTGAGAAAGCAGGGCACCTTTTGGTTTTGGTACTTGATGTTAAAGGGACCCCTCCAAAAACAACAGAATCAATACGGCACTGGACGCCTGCGAAAACATATTGAGGGGCAGCGCTGAAAAAGGGACGCTCCACGGCCCAACAGGTAAACGCTTCCAAGAAATGCTACAAGGAAAATATGGCTTGTTTTTGAGGGTATCCTTTTTGCTGTTTTTAAAGGGAAGCCAGAAGGAACATCACATGTTTGTGGGTTCCTTAAAACACAAAATATGCATGAGGACCCATGGCTTATCACTCGGGTTTGTCTCCTCTGCGCATTCCCGGGAAGCCGAAACTGGGTGCTAAACAGGGTCTAGATTCCAGAGCGGACTGGCCAAAAAGAGCCTCTTGCTAAAACAATATTCCCAACAAGCGGGAGTTTCTCAAAATAGGGGTGGAATGAAGTGGACACCACCCAAAGGTGGAAACCAAAAGGAAGGAAGTGGTGAAAGCCAAAAAGTGGAAACTTCCCAAATGTTTGAATAACGCGGAAACCAAAATGCTTGGCCACCTGAAAGGATTGGATTTTGAGAAAAGTGAAAGGTTAATCGGTGAGAAGTTGCACTGCCGGAGTACCCGCACAAGAATGGGTGTAGAAGCACCATATCGGTCTCTGTTGATTTGAGTTGGTACCCTTTTTGGGATGGTGTAAAAGGCAACACAAGGGAACCAACCACTTTTAGGGGCCCCTTTGCTTGAGACACACCCATAGGCCCATATATAACTTTTCCATGTCTGTGTGGTTCAAAGGGGGGGGGGACCCTAACCCGTGGAGGGACACCAGTAAACAGGGGAAACCATCGCCATCCATTCCGTTTGGATGTCTTTTCGGGAGATGTATTTTGAGAAAATAGGGGGCCCAACACCCTCAAACGGAGGGCCGAAGCTCCATTGACCTCAAAGGCATAAGCAAGGTCGCACCCGCCTCAAGGCTGTTTCAGTGGGCTATGTTTAACAATATTGAGACTCCAAACTCTAAATCGAGACCTGCAAACAACACTGTTCTCATCAAGGTAGCTGCCTGGCCCTTGAAAGACAAACTTGCTCTTGGAGAGACCTTGCATCAGCTTCCAAGTTGGAGGGACACCGGCCCATTGCCGAAGAATCAGTCTACATGTTGACTGGATTGGGACAACCACCTTCATATTGAAACCAATGTGCTTTAAATGTCCTGTGGTGTTGGCAACTGGCAAGGAAAAAGGATCAAGCCTGGTCTCCAAACCCAACCAACTCCCAATTCAATAACGCGCCTCCACATCCACTGGCGAACGCCCCAAAGCCTCTCTGAGAGCCTAGCAAAGCGAGGGATTCGATTTCGTCTTGTTGAACATATGCGTGTCTAGAAGGACCAAACAACTAGCTGTTCCTGTAAAATTAGCCCCCAGAAAGGTATCCTCAAAAAAACATAACGACAAACACATGATTGGGGATGGGATCCCTAATCCGCACTCCGGGCAAAGGTTTCCCGGGATTTCCGAAACTTTTGATTTCCCGTGGATGTGCATGCAAAAAAAGGGGGCACTCATTGGACCGGATCCCCCATTGAAGGGGAAAGCAACCTCCCTGGGTCTTGGTTTTGGACATCATTTCAAGGAACTACCTTTCACAGGGCCCAAGATGCTTTGTTTTTGCTTTTCACAGAGGAATCCAAAACAGTTGAAGCAAAAGCATCTGGGGTTTGGAAGCCCAATGACTGCTGTCCATTTGGGCCATGCAGTTCCCAGGTTACTACGCACCCTAAGATGCAGTCTTTCTTGGCCATCTGGGGTACACAGAAAATTAAAAAAGGTTCAGATTGTGCCTCATATTTAGTCAGCCCCGAGGCCCAGAAATTACCTGGCCACCCTTTGGTCACTGTCGAGCTCCGCGTGGAAGCTAAAATGTGAGTCTGTCTTAAATAGGGGACCCTAATACTGGTTGTATTCCCTTTGCTGTTCCTCTAAGTCAAAACAGAAATGGGGAAACCCACACAAAAGGGCAGACTCATGTGTCGAGTGAGCTTCCTTGTGGTTGAGTAATGAGGCTGGCAAGGGCTCACAAGTGAAGGGGAGTTCCAATTGGCATATCTACCAACGGGCCGAAAAGCTCATTTGACTAAAGGCCGATTGGCTTGGAAATAAAAAGCTTAACCTTTTAGGACCTATGCTTGGCTAGGCTGAGACCCCTGGAACAAGCTAGCGCTCTTGCTGATAGGGGACAGCGCAGGAACAGGTTGGTTCAGTCTGGCAGTGACGGGCCGAATCAAGAAAACCAACATGTCAGATCCGGGATCCGTCCGATTCGCTTTGCAAGTGAAGCACGAGATGCTCCGGAATAAAGCTTAGAGAGTGTCCACTGCCCCAAAAACCACCCCGCGGAACAAGTGCGCAACCTTTTCTGAGACATGTAATTCTTACATAAAATTCAGGACACAAACTGGGTATAGTGGTTTGGAGTAGGAGAAACCCTCTGACATATTAACCTGTCATACTCCAAGCAAATGGCGGCCCGAGCTGGAGTTCCGAACCTAATTCGGTTCCCTTTGGATTTATTGTGGAGCAGACTCGAAAGGGTACCAACTCCAAAAAAGGAGCCCACACAAATCAACGAATGAAACGTGCGATTCCCGAAACAGACGCGCCCATGACATGAGCCTTAGTTGGTCTTGTTTGGCCTCATCTTGCCCTAATAGGCCCTAACACGGCTCATGGGCGGGGTGCTCGCAAGTAGGTGTCACGAAAGGCTATTAACAAGCCATGGCCATCCTGTCAAGGCTGAGGTTCCTCAGCCGAGGACGTTCTGGTCCAACTCCTTGAGAAGGCCCTCGTTTTTTTGTTTTGGGGGAAACAATCGGCGCCCATGACATAAAAACTCACACATGACCAGCACAAGTTGTCAACCAACAAGCATCTATAGCCTGCTTGTCCCCTGCATATGGAACACAAAATGGTTGGCATCTTCTGGCTTTGCCTTTTGAACAAATCAGGACCAAAACGAGTTCCCCCCAAAGAACACACCCCAAAATGGAGCCAAACTTCGCGTTCAAACAACGAAACCCAAGCCAGGGTTCCACATATTTCCCCCAGACCAAAGGAACCTCACCTTGCGGTCTTTGGCGGCTGTTCCCCTCTGGGAAATGTTGGGGCCCCCTGCAAACGAAAGGCTCGCGTTTCTGCGCTCCCTCGTGCCTGCGTCGCCCCAGAGGTGGGGGAGGCGGGCGTGTGGGCCAGGTCCACCGCATAGTTCTTGAAGGACCTCGACAGAGAAAGGCGACGCAACAAAGCAACGAAACAGCTAACTAGCTAGCTAGCTAGCAAGCAAGCAAACTATTTCACAGCAGAAACACAAAAACAAACAAACAAACAAACAAACAAACAAACGATTGGGCTGCCGGTTTGGTCAAGCCAAAAAGGGCCTGGCAGGCCGAGCAAATAGCTCTAAGCTGGAAGGCTTTGATGACCTGACACGGGTATCTGATGACGTTCTGACAGGCGGTCCCGATCTGAACGTCTTTGTCACGGGGTGCCTGAAAGGCCTTGGCATTCAGCAGAACACTCGGATCTCGGTACACCTAACCCGGCACAGCGGCAGAGGCCCGACTTGTATTGTTTCTGCTTTTTTTTTGTTTGTTTAGTATTTGTGTGTCTGTCCGCTTGTGTGTCTGTTTGGTTGTCCCAAGGGAAACGAGGGAAACGAGGGTACATACCCATTACTATATAGTGGCCAGTGACAGTATATCCATCCCGTGAACCCCCGGGGAGTAGCTTCCCGGACTGAAGAGATAGTCTGACGCCGGTGAGCCTCTCACAGAAACGGGTTCTGAAACCCATCGCTTGGGGCTCTGGACACCATGGGCCGCATGGGCGTCTGCACCTCTGCATCTCCTGCGAGAAGCGAGAAGTTCCCTCCAGTGTGTCCGATAACTCAACGAGTTTTTTTTTGAAAAGCGAGCCCAATTTGGATGTTCAATTGGCAAAGTAAGGGGTGATCACACCATATGGTTATAACTTAGTAACTGGGGTGATCGTCCCCCACCATGGCTATGACCTTCTGCTTTGCTTTACCATAACTTACCTGCCTGAAAACCAAAAGGACATCAACCAGGGACAGAGGGCTCACTCAAGCGGAAAACTGCACCGATCCCAGTGGTCGATGTTTAGGGAGCCCCTTGTGAAGGCGTGTGTGTGATTTGCTTGTTGTCAGCTTCCAAAAAGTTCAGGCGCGAAAAAAGAACGGGGAGGCCTTTGAGTGCGAGAGGGTGCACTTGCCTTGTCGTGCGAGGATACTTGGATCTTGCTTGACCAAGTTACCAAGTTAGGCAGGCTATGACAATTCGGAGATTGTCTCACTTATTACCACGGTTATACCCTGCTGTCAGTGTGCGTGAAGGGCTTGAATCTGCCGCTCTGAAGTTGGAACACATCCACAGAAGTTCGTTTGACCGCCCACGGGCTGCAGATCGAGCCAGTGTGCACATGTGGGGGTGTCTTGTTTTGAGAGCCTTTTTTTTGGGCGGTTCAAGAGGCTCGGCGCTGCGCGCGGAAAACGTGCGAACCCCGCAGAGCGGAAAAAAACAACCAAATGTGCGGAAAAACAAAGCACAGTCTCTGCGGAAAAAGCGGACCCCTCCTGAAAGGGGGCCGTGATGAAGGTTGTCTTGGGGATCCGCTTTTCGAGCTGGAATCCGGCATTCCAGCTCGAAAAGCGGATCCCCGGCCAATCCCTCCTGAAAAGGGGGCCGTGATGAAGGTTGTCTTGGGGATCCGCTTTTCGAGCTGGAATCCGGCATTCCAGCTCGAAAAGCGGATCCCCAGCCAATCCCTCCTGAAAAGGGGGCCGTGATGAAGGTTGTCTTGGGGATCCGCTTTTCGAGCTGGAATCCGGCATTCCAGCTCGAAAAGCGGATCCCCGGCCAATCCCTCCTGAAAAGGGGGCCGTGATGAAGGTTGTCTTGGGGATCCGCTTTTCGAGCTGGAATCCGGCATTCCAGCTCGAAAAGCGGATCCCCGGCCAATCCCTCCTGAAAAGGGGGGCCGTGATGAAGGTTGTCTTGGGGATCCGCTTTTCGAGCTGGAATCCGGCATTCCAGCTCGAAAAGCGGATCCCCGGCCAATCCCTCCTGAAAGGGGGCCGTGATGAAGGTTGTCTTGGGGATCCGTTGTCTTGGGGATCTTTTCGAGCTGGAATCCGGCATTCCAGCTCGAAAAGCGGATCCCCGGCCAATCCCTCCTGAAAAAGGGGCGTGATATCCGCTTTTCCGAAAGCTCGAAAAGCGGATCCCCGGCCAATCCCTCCTGAAAGGGGGCCGTGATGAAGGTTGTCTTGGGGATCCGCTTTTCGAGCTGGAATCCGGCATTCCAGCTCGAAAAGCGGATCCCCGGCCAATCCCTCCTGAAAGGGGGCCGTGATGAAGGTTGTCTTGGGGATCCGCTTTTCGAGCTGGAATCCGGCATTCCAGCTCGAAAAGCGGATCCCCGGCCAATCCCTCCTGAAAGGGGGCCGTGATGAAGGTTGTCTTGGGGATCCGCTTTTCGAGCTGGAATCCGGCATTCCAGCTCGAAAAGCGGATCCCCAGCCAATCCCTCCTGAAAGGGGGCCGTGATGAAGGTTGTCTTGGGGATCCGCTTTTCGAGCTGGAATCCGGCATTCCAGCTCGAAAAGCGGATCCCCAGCCAATCCCTCCTGAAAAGGGGGCCGTGATGAAGGTTGTCTTGGGGATCCGCTTTTCGAGCTGGAATCCGGCATTCCAGCTCGAAAAGCGGATCCCCAGCCAATCCCTCCTGAAAGGGGGCCGTGATGAAGGTTGTCTTGGGGATCCGCTTTTCGAGCTGGAATCCGGCATTCCAGCTCGAAAAGCGGATCCCCAGCCAATCCCTCCTGAAAGGGGGCCGTGATGAAGGTTGTCTTGGGGATCCGCTTTTCGAGCTGGAATCCGGCATCGAAAAGCGGATCCCCAGCCAATCCCTCCTGAATAGGGGCCGTGATGAAGGTTGTCTTGGGGATCCGCTTTTCAAGCGGAATCCGGGCAATCTCAGGATCCCCGGCCAATCCCTCCTGAAAGGGGGCCGTGATGAAGGTTGTCTTGGGGATTCCGCTTTCGAGCTGGAATCCGGCATTCCAGCCAGCTCGAAAAGCGGATCCCCGGCCAATCCCTCCTGAAAAGGGGGCCGTGATGAAGGTTGTCTTGGGGATCCGCTTTTCGAGCTGGAATCCGGCATTCCAGCTCGAAAAGCTGATCCCCGGCCAATCCCTCCTGAAAAGGGGGCCGTGATGAAGGTTGTCTTGGGGATCCGCTTTTCGAGCTGGAATCCGGCATTCCGGCTCGAAAAGCGGATCCCCGGCCGGTCCCTCCTGAAAGGGGGCCGTGATGAAGGTTGTCTTGGGGATCCGCTTTTCGAGCTGGAATCCGGCTCGAAAAGCCGGATCCCCGGCCAATCCCTCCTGAAAGGGGGCCGTGATGAAGCTTGTCTTGGGGATCCGCTTTTCGAGCTGGAATCCGGCATTCCAGCTCGAAAAGCGGATCCCCGGCCATTGAAGGTTGTCTTGGGGATCCGCTTTTCGAGCTGGAATCCGGCACTCCAGCTCGAAAAGCGCATCCCAGTCCGGATTCCAGTTCGTTGTCACCGGCGGGATTCGAACCCAAGACCCTTGCCAACACTAAGACAAAGGATCTTGTGGCCAAAGGCGCTTTTGGGTAGGTACTGAGCTTGTCACCGATGTTACCCACTCGAAAAGCGGTCCCCGGAAAGGGGGGCCGTGATGAAGGTTGTCTTGAGGATCCGCTTTTCGAGTTGGAATCCGGCATTCCAGCTCGAAAAGCGGATCCCGAAAGGGGGCCGTGATTCAAGCTGGAATCCGGCATTCCAGCTCGAAAAGCGGATCCCCGGCCAATCCCTCCTGAAAAGGGGGCCGTGATGAAGGTTGTCTTGGCGATCCGTGGAATCCGGCATTCCGGCTCGAAAAGCGGATCCCCGGCCGGTCCCTCCTGAAAGGGGGCCGTGATTCAAGCTGGAATCCGGCATTCCAGCTCGAAAAGCGGATCCCCGGCCAATCCCTCCTCCTGAAAGGGGGCCGTGATGAAGGTTGTCTTGGGGATCCGCTTTTCGAGCTGGAATCCGGCATTCCCAGCTCGAAAAGCGGATCCCCGGCCAATCCCTCCTGAAAGGGGGGCCGTGATGAAGGTTGTCTTGGGGATCCGCTTTTCGAGCTGGAATCCCGCATTCCAGCTCGAAAAGCGATCCCCGCCAATCCCTCCTGAAAGGGGGCCCGTGATGAAGGTTGTCTTGGGGATCCGCTTTTCGAGCTGGAATCCGGCATTCCGCTCGAAAAGCGGATCCCCGGCCAATCCCTCCTGAAAGGGGGCCGTGATGAAGGTTGTCTTGGGGATCCGCTTTTCGAGCTGGAATCCGGCATTCCAGCTCGAAAGCGGATCCCCGGCCAAATCCCTCCTGAAAGGGGGCCGTGATGAAGGTTGTCTTGGGATCCGCTTTTCGAGCTGGAATCCGGCATTCCAGCTCGAAAAGCGGATCCCCGGCCAATCCCTCCTGAAAGGGGGCCGTGATGAAGGTTGTCTTGGGGATCCGCTTTTCGAGCTGGAATCCGGCATTCCAGCTCGAAAAGCGGATCCCCGGCCAATCCCTCCTGAAAAGGGGGCCGTGATGAAGGTTGTCTTGCGAGCTGGAATCCGCATTCAGCTCGAAAAGCGGATTCCAGCTCGAAAAGCGGATCCCCGGCCAATCCCTCCTGAAAAGGGGGCCGTGATGAAGGTTGTCTTGGGGATCCGCTTTTCGAGCTGGAATCCGGCATTCCAGCTCGAAAAGCGGATCCCCGGCCAATCCGGGGCCCTTGGGGATCCGCTTTTCGGGCTGGTCCGGCATTCCAGCTCGAAAAGCGGATCCCCGGCCGGTCCCTCCTGAAAGGGGGCCGTGATGAAGGTTGTCTTGGGGATCCGCTTTTCGAGCTGGAATGCCGGATTCCAGCTCGAAAAGCGGATCCCCAAGACAACCTTCATCACGGCCCCCTTTTCAGGAGGGACCGGCCGGGGATTCGCTTTTCGAGCCTTAGAAAGGAGCCTTAGAAAGGAGCCTTAGAAAGGAGCCTTAGAAAGGAGCCTTAGAAAGGAGCCTTAGAAAGGAGCCTTAGAAAGGAGCCTTAGAAAGGAGCCTTAGAAAGGAGCCTTAGAAAGGAGCCTTAGAAAGGAGCCTTGGAAAGGAGCCTTAGAAAGGAGCCTTCGAAAGGAGCCTTAGAAAGGAGCCTTAGAAAGGAGCCTTCGAAAGGAGCCTTAGAAAGGAGCCTTCGAAAGGAGCCTTAGAAAGGAGCCTTCGAAAGGAGCCTTAGAAAGGAGCCTTCGAAAGGAGCCTTAGAAAGGAGCCTTACAAAGGAGCCTTAGAAAGGAACCTTAGAAAGGAGCCTTAGAAAGGAGCCTTAGAAAGGAGCCTTCGAAAGGAGCCTTAGAAAGGAGCCTTAGAAAGGAGCCTTAGAAAGGAGCCTGAGAAAGGAGCCTTCGAAAGGAGCCTTCGAAAGGAGCCTTAGAAAGGAGCGCCTTAGAAAGGAGCCTTAGAAAGGAGCCTTCGAAAGGAGCCTTCGAAAGGAGCAAAGGAGCCTTAGAAAGGAACCTAGAAAGGAGCTTCCTACCCCTATACTTTTCCGCGTGTAGTGGCTTCATTTCCGTAAGTAGTCACATTTTCATTTCCGTAAGCAGTGACACCTTATCCGCTCAGAGTGATCATGATTCCGCAAGATGTGACAAGTCTTGTGGTTCAAAGGGGAACCAAACGGAAAGCGAGGGGTCCCCTAAAAAAGACACACTCATGTAAGCCATGTAGCAGCAAAGCTCCCTCCGCTTCGAACTGAGATAAGGGTGCAAGTTGGGGTTTGGACCAGTGAGCTGCCACTGGAAATACAAGGTTAGCCTATGTTGGCCTTTTGGGGTCACTAAAAATCGACCGCAAAGGGGCAACCAAAGGTTAGATTTGGACGATACGCTTTGGGCAAGCGAGAAAAACGCCGCAGCTCTCGGGGGCAGTTTTGAGATCCCAAAGTCCTGGCTTCTCCGAGTCTTCCGCAAGCATGTCCAGCTCTCGCGCGTGCGCCTAGAGGCTGGCAGGCAGTAGACTCGCTGATTCTCAGCAAAACAACAAGGTGTGCAGCCTTGAGATCATTTCTTACAACTCGATGTTTTCCTATAACTTGACCCTAAACTGTTTTCTTTGAGATCCACAGGTCAATCGCTTGCCGGCTCTTAGGAAATCGATTTTGGGGTTTGGGAGTGAACCGTTGGGGAGATGCTTCAACCGAACCACAAGTTGCATGGTTGGGGGCATGGCGAAAAGCGGGGCGTGCCCCCACTTTTTCTCCAGGTGGCCAATCAAGAAAGTGTGACCTCCGTACATGAAACCTAGAAAGTCGGTGACACCCAGTGGCTTCAGTGTGACCGTCCACCCAAAACAGGGCTCCAAGTTCCGGGCAGCAACAGGTTGAGGTACTGGCAATCATGCGCGACAAGGTTCCTCTTGGTTTCCCTTGAAAACCGCGAGGGAAAGGCTTCCCTCAAAAAAAGACAGACCCTTTTGTCACCCTCGAAGGTTCACGAGTAGATGTCGATGCTCAAACAGTGTGATAACACCTCGCCAATAAGCAACTCATGTTAAACAGTGGCCCAAAGGTGTTGTTTGAACAAAAAGGAACTCCAAACCACCCGCAGGAAAAACCCTTAGTTGTGATGTTAAAAACACCCACAGAGAGAAAGTCTGACCTCGGACCCCTCTCAGACTTGCTTCATACTGGCGTAACTGGAGACCGCAAATTGTAACGTGTTGTAAGGCGATTTCCGAGTTCATCACTCCCGACACCCCAGCAATCATTTGGTCTAAATCATTGCACTCATGACACGATTTAGATTGTGAGCAATTGTAGCAGTGTCATGTCACATGAGTCATGTCATGGTAATCATTCAGCCTATCATGACATTGTGGGCATGATTGCATAATCATGAGGCAATTTCGCATGATTCCCCAGGCCTCACAACCCAACCCCGGTTCAAGTTATTCAGGCTCTTATGTCGAGGGAACACCGCCTGATTTCTGAGTTGCAAATCAACACATCTGGGCAAATCGTCAGAATTGAAGCGGAAATGGATGGGCGCAAATGGCGCTTGTGGACCATGGCCAATATAAACAGCTACACCCAATTGTAGACAATTAAATGAAACCCTTTTTGGTGCCGATTCCATCTTGAGTGGGTCCAGAGCCCACCAAACAAACATGGAAAAAAGAATCGGTGTCACTGAACGGCTATCATGAGGCAAGTTAGCTATGTTTGAGAGAAGCGCGGAGCCGTCGCAGGAATCCGCTGTCGGCCTAATCACTTCCTTTGCTTAAGTTGTCTGGGAAAAATACTTCCAGTAGTAATAGATTTCCCCAACACGGGGGAATAGTTAAAACATACGTACGAGCAAAGTCTGCGGATGCCTGCGGTCTGCCCAGAAAACTCTATGGTTGGGCTCCGAACAGAACCCAAGGAACAGCCCCGAAAGTCGACACGAAAGGCAAGAAGCCATCGCCCAAGGCAATCTATCAGTTTTAAGGAACACCACCCTAAGCATCCTAACAGCTTTGGGGGTGTCATGAAGATGCGGGGCGTGGGGGAGGGCACGTCGAGACCCCCAAAATCTCTGGGGCGTCGCTGTGACACCCCATGCAAGACCTGTGTTCTTCGGCCGAGCGATTGAATGTTTTCGGCACACCGCGCTGAACTGTGGCTCGACGGCAACACTCTTGCTGGTCGGCCTTGAGCCTGGGCCCGTGCCCCCAGTCACGGGCGGACGAGGGAGAGACCCTCACAGCTTTTTGAGGTGAAGTTGCAGGGTTGCTAGGTATCTTTCCAGTGTCCGCAGAGACAGGGTTGTTCGGTGGCAAACACGCCCAATACGCCCTACTCTTCCCACCCAATCCTCTGCGCACAGCAAGGTATAAAATGCTGGGTTTGTTCGCTCCTCCTTAGCCTTTTTCGCCATGTGCGCCATAAAATGATGTTTGGGGATGACGTACCAGTTGCACCTGCCAGCTTCGCGCCCTCTCATTCGCGAGCTTGTCTTCCTCAAAGCACTGTAGGATCGGAGGTGCCGCATGCAGACATCATGAAAAATAGAAGCTTGTTCTGCAGAGAGGACTGGCGGGTACTCATCAAGCAGCTTCAGCACTGCGGCATACGAATGAACACAAGCTGACACCAACTTATCAAGGCTCGACGCACCGGCTCTGTTTGCATGCTCAAGCGCACGCTCCGCCACCCAAAAGGATATTGCTTTGGAAGCAGCAGCCTTGCTGGAAAGACAGGGGAAATTCGTGCGACTAGGTCGCGACAACCGCGAAGCTGTGAACCTGGGTTGTGTTGGATGGTGTTTCCCTTGCTTCTTCCACTGCAACCAGTCTTTGTGAGCCGAGCGGAGAACGAAGTCGAGGGCTTGCTTGTAAACTCCATGCGGTAGCTCTCCCCAGAACCCTGATTCGGCAAGAAAGATTATGGTGGATCCATTGACAAGTTTGCCAGTTCCTAAGAGCTGGGAGTGGCATACATCATGATAAACACGACCAATGTCCAATCCTGGCAAGGTGAACACAGCCGATCCTTGGTTTACGGCAAGTCTTTCAAGAATTCCAACAAATGAAGAAACTATGTTTACCCAAACATCAGCTAGGGCAGAAGTGGATGCGTGGCACAATTCCGGGGGTTTGAGTTAGAATCATTCACTTTCACCCAACTGCAGGAGTTTCCCTGTCAAGAACATCCAAACATGAAAAAAAGCAAATTGGTTGTAATTGCATTCCAGCACAAGGGGCGGCGAGCCTCAAAAGCTGTCAAATCCGGCCGGCTGGTCCAGTACTGTGCGTGATCCCGAAAATCCATGATGGTCATCCCGGGATTGGCGTGGGTTTTGCAGCATCCACAAAGACTGCAAAAGCTGTTCTGGTTGTAGGGAAACAAGTTGAACACACTATAGACCCATTTGAGGTCACCTTGCAAAGAGCTCATCATGAAGCAATATCCCTTGGAACTCCACTCAAAAAGGTGTCGTTCATCGACCATGCTCCGCAGTCTCTCTGTCAGGGCACCAATAATATCTTCAGGTGTCTCTGGGGCTGCGTTGTGCTCACTCCAAACTGTGAAAGGGAAGTAGCGGCATAATGCATCATTGCCTGCCCCAAAATCGCTCGTCCAGCCAAGTATGTTCATGGTGCCAATCTCACTGTTTTTGTAGCATTGAACACCATCCCCGTATAACGATAGGGGGATCAAATGAGAAAGCCGTGGAAAGTTCGATGCTGGATGTTCTCGAAACCATTCTGAGTGGGCACGCATGTGGTTCCAATACTGGTGCGCATCAGTGCGTCCAAACATGCAGTGACGGAAAACCCTCTCCCCTTTGCTGAAGAGAGCTTCTGCCATAGAGTCGGGGAAAATGACCGGGAGATTTTGCCATTCCACCTGAGCAGTGCTGTGGTTGTACATCCGAACGCGGATGGATTCGATTGAGGCTCCCAACCTTTTGCCGTATGAAAGGATGACCCTGTGCATGTCCCGCTCGCAATTTCCTGAGAACTTCCCTTGAGCCCCAATCTCAGCAATACGTTTGACCACATCACCATTGTCAATTACACCGCCAGTGTTTGCGCACCACTTCACAGCTGAAGCAGCAGTCTCACGAGCCTTGGAAGCCACAGCTAGGTCAAACTCATTAAGTGTTAACATGTTTACAACAAAAAACAACTATGCATACCCTATAAGTGCAAAACCGCTTTAAAACAACGCGAGCTGCAACTCAGTCTCTTTGCAAGCGCTGGACTTCCCAGAAGCAAAATTGTCAACCAGAAGGTCCCCGAAGTCACGAGGTTCTGGCGCCACCCTCCGAGCCATTGCCCTCTCACGAGCTGCTGCAACATGAGGGCGATCGTACGGTGTCAGCACCGGCCGAGGCCGCGATGAAGGCTCCTTCAGGGCAAAGCCAGCAGCCAGGTTGGTGTTTTTGGGGGGCAGGGCTACCCCGAAACAGGGAAACAATTAGTTCCATTTTTGGCAAAACCCCCCCTCCAAACCGGTCCCTTTTGCGCATGGAAACCCCTTCAAAGCGCAAAATGGGCTTGTCTCAACAAAGGGGATCGTTAAAATGTGGGGATTTCCATTTGCCTCCCTCGATCTAGTACCGCCTCAAGAGGATATCATCACAGAGTACGCACCCAAACATGCTATATTTTCGGAGTTTGGTTTGTGCCGTATGCAGGGGGTCAGGTTTGGCATGCTTGAGCAAGGATCCAAGAAAGGCCTCCCTGGTTCCAACCAAAGAGCGTCTCTTGAATGGGAACAATCGGCAGTTGGGTGGCCCTGCAAAGAAATTTAAATATGTGCGGGGCCGGACCTGGGCAAGGCTAATGTGTAGTTTTCTTGTTGGACCTGTAGGCCCCTTGAAGATGAAGACGTCAAGTCCTCCCCGCCAAGTCCTGCGTGCAAAATTAAAGGGAGGGTCACTTTTCAAAACCCCACACTGAAATCAGAGGTCAAGTGTTGCTGGTGGCCACGCATGCGCGTGTTCTACTTCACAAAGCTCAGTTCAAAGGGGTTTCTACCGCGCCCCTCCCATATGCAGACTCATTCCAAAAAGGGTCAAAACAATGCGTGCATCAAGAAGGGTATAGCTCTTTATGGATGGCGGGTTGTAGCAAGTCTCAAGTCGGCAGTTTTTTTGGCTGCACTTCGAAGTCACCCCGCATATTGGTCTATGTAGCCACATTTGGCACATAGACGTGCCCCAATTGCACACGCGCTGTCTCCAGCACGTCCCCATCACACGTGATTTCACATGTGCTCCAAAACAGTGCAGCAAGATGCCGCTCTACTCCTCAGGATCCGCAGCCTCCTGCGGATGGACCGGATGGCAGGAGACAGGACGAAGGGTAAATGGGGCAAGAAAACACAATTATGAAGTATTGTGTGTCAATGTATGCCTTTAATTGCATGCTCTTCAAACTGGGATGGATGCTCCTTCTGTTTGCGCTTGCCGCCCTTGGGCTTGGTCAAGTTGTGGGCGAGGGCAGCA